CCAAGTTCTCTGATGCAGAGTTCCAAGGAATGGGTTAGATCACCTGATGACCAAGTTTTGTAAGGTATTTAGCAATGTTTGAACCTGGCCTCATCTTTCATGGGGTTTAGAGCAGACATCTTTCTACTAATGTTCTAACATCTCTTCAAGTTTCACTCCCATCAACATATCTTACGGTCATCTTTGCACATTGTCCTTAAAGAAACTTAAGGCCAGTAAAAGGCCCACAAAGAAACAATTTGCTAGAATGAATGTGACAAATACTTGCCAATTGCCAAAAGAAAAATCAAGTAAGATGGAGAATTATGAAGTTGCCATTTCATACCAAAAAACCTGAAGTTTCTAAACCTAATGCTCATCAGTGCTTATCTAGGGCAGCAAGCTGTTACAAGAAACGACATTTGGTAAAAGGCTGGAGGTAAATATTAATCATAAATTAAGAATTTCAATGAGATCTCTGGCCATAATTTAACAAAACTGGGAAGAAGTCCTTGCCAAAACACACATCACTTCCAGGCAAATATTTCTGAGTATGGTGACTCCTCCCCATCACAGTGAAGTTTATGAGCTCTCTCTTATTAATATATGCGCAATCCGATTCACTGAATAGCTATTTATGGATCACCAATCTCTTGAGACACATCTAATTTTGTTCTCATGCTTACACAAAGAACCATTCTACATCCACTTGTCAATTTTATGACTGAACAAAGAAGGCACAATCTCATAAATAAAGTGCCCCAATAATAATTTAGGGTAGCTCTTGTTGGCTGGTCCAGGAGTGCTGCCCAGAAAAGGAGACTCCCTTAAATCTGACAGAAAATGAGAGGTTGACTCTTTTGTTGACTGTTGCTCATCATCAGATGTAAGACTAATCATAAATGGCATTGTACCTTGCCTAGACAAGAAGTGAGCTTTCCCCTTTTCCCTTTTGCTCAAGTCTAGATCACTTGCATTCCACTCAGGCTTAATTACATTGATTTTGAACTTTACTGTAACAATATAAGATAATCAAACTTAGTCCTTAGCCAGCTGCTGTTTTCTTGTTTGATAGCTAAAGGACCCATGCTGTAATGAGGAACAGGAGGGGATGAAAATTTAAAGAATAACCATAAGAAAGTACTCCCCAAATTCAAAATAAAATGTACAAAGTACAGCATGGTACTCTCTCCAACCTATTTACTGAAAGGGCTTTGCAAATGTTCAGTTGAGTTTGTTGTTCTGCCCCACTGAAACAGTTGAGTTTGTTGTTCTGCCCCACTGAAACTGCACAAAATGACAAATTCTGGTACACAAAGTATTCACTTAAAGTTCCAATTTGTGAAACCTCTTAAAAATCTTTCCAATCTCAATTTTCTGTCATTCCCAAGAGTACCTATAATAATCACATCTGTAGAATGGTTACTGAAGAGTGTTATAATTAACCTTTATGCAGCATTTGTTAAACACAGTGAATCTGCTTTATATATTGTTGTTATTTTTCTTCAGTAAAGTTTTGTCTTACATAGTTCATACAGTTCCAGAAGTAAAACTCCATTATGCACAGGGCACTTCAACCAAATTGACACTTGCATCTTTACTGTATTAACAAGTCATAGGAGCTTATAAAGACACATCTTTTAGCAGACTATGGAATACTCCATTTCAAACTCAAGCTTTCGGTAACAAATTAAAAAAAAAATTACCACTAGTTTATTTGGGTATTTCAAGTCTGGAACTTTTCACTGCCAAGGGAAAAAAGTCCTGCCACCTGCATTCTTAAGAAGAAAGATCATGGCGATAAAAAGATTACATTTCTAAGGTTATAACGTAAGGAAGTGCAAAAATAGAGGATTCCCCTTCTTCTTTTATTATGCAAATAAAGCTTCCCAAATATTCACCCAGAACTTTACTTATACCCTAAAGGGGAAATTTCCTCTATATAGAAACTGATATTGGAAGATGGTCCAGCAGATTTTGGGCTGCCTGTAAAATCTCCAGCCTTCAACTCCAGAAGAGAACTAGGCCTGACTGTCTGACTAGCAAGTCAGTGAAACACCTCACTGCTCTGCAAGGACAGTTTCCTACAACTTTGAAGTTTTGCAAAATGCAAACTTCGTACCTGATTTAAAAAAAAAGTAGAAAGAATAGCAGGACACCAGGAAAAAAACTTGTTTGACCAGTAATAAGTCTGAGACAGGTACTATAATCAGAAACAGATTATGAACATACCAGTTACGTCATGAAGTGCTCGCAATCTTAACATAGGTTAAACAGAGGCTTCTGGATTTACTTAAGATCCCAGAATGGAAGCATATGGAAAAGGAAAGTGATTTAAAGTTTCTGACAAAGTTAAAAATATTACAAACTTTTAGCTTTTATTGAAAATTAAATATATTAGCAAAAGCAAGATTTAAGAAATATTTTACAAATGATTTACATACAAGAAAGCCAGTATCAGACATATTCACAAATATGCAAACCTTTAATTACAAAAAGTACCTATTGGCAGCATGATGCTAACCTTGCCACTGCAGTGTGCTCTACTATTTATATGAATAAGGCATAGAACTCACATTTGCACCAACTTAAAAAGTTCAAATAAAACTTTAAGCTTTTGAATCCTGGATGCACAATCCCCGATAGACACACGCACGCACACTCTAAGATTTCTTCTTCTAAGCTCTACAAACTAAGTGTGTGCTCTGGAAGAATAGCCTGAAAAGCCCAGTAGAAATGTAACTGGTACTAGCATTTAGATTTCAGTTTCCTCTTTAAAATGTACAGGCCTAGGTATGTAAACCATATTCACAGTTTAAGTATTTTTAGACAGAAGTACCTTTTTTTCTGCATTTGTTCCTTAAAGTTGGCTCTCAGTTCAGCATACAGTTCATGTCACCTGTTTTGTGATGCATACATTGACAAGATAACTTAAAAAAAACCTGTGCCATATTCATGGTCAAGATAGTTAAACAAGAGTAGCAATATCCGACTGTGACATTCAATACTATATTTCAAATATTTGTGCAAACAGCAAAAAAACAGTTGTTTGAGGCAAACATTTGCAAAACCTTTATTACCTCCTCAATGTTGTAAACTTAGACTGTCAGCCTTAAGTCCTGTACTTCCACAGCTTAGAAAAGTCAACTGCTAAAAGGATCAAGTCTCAAAAAGGTTTTTTTCTACATAGTGCAAATTTTAATGTAGATAACGTGGAAAACATATCTAGCTGGGTTGACTTTGTGCAATTGTCAGTGGTCTTCTCTCATAGTTGAAGAAAGTGTGCATCCAATGAACCATGTGGTTCAGGAAGCCAGGAGGGTGGAGAGAAAAAACAGTTCCATTACACTTCTCAAACCAGTGCTAGATGTGCAAAGGCAGCAAAAATTCCAGCTGCTACTACAACCAGAACAGAGTAACTTTTCAGGAAGAACCAGGCGGTTAGTCACTTGGACTGGTCTCTAGAAAAATAGGTGAGTATATGTTGGATTTTTATCAGACGGTCTTTTAAAGACATCATGGAGAGAACTGACAGCTGGTATCTGGGGTCTACTGGGAGAACAGCTAGAAGCCACCAACACCAAGCAGGACCATTGGGCATTGCCTAGAAATAAAACACAAGCTGGTTACCAGTAACCAGTATTGTATGGTTGACTATCAAAAAGACATCAAAAGACAAAGTCATCAATGGTCAAGACTACTTCAAAGTTTGATACTAACTAGAGAATTCCAGATCTATGAGATTAGAAGAGTGCTGAAAGGATCTCTTTACCTCAACTGAGAAGTCAAACAAAGTACATTTAAACTAAGTTTTATAAATCAATTATTTTTAAGACAACATAGGGAGCTCACAGGTTCCTTGGGAAAAGACGGCTAAGTACAGGACAGCTACCCAATGACAAACCTCCCTGATAAAAATTAAATCTAATACTTGTCATGCTATTCTTAAGGCTTGAGTACTCTTGAAGCCTAATGTTTTCATTCTAAATAACCTTTATTTGAAGGACTTCTCTGTCACCTCCCAGTTCCACTTCCCTTCTCACTACATTCTAGACAGAGCAGGACTACTTAGAAAGTTTCCTCTAAGCAGTTAAAACTCTGGAACTTTTTCCTGCACTTTAATTACCAACAGCAACCATTAGATGTCAGGCCTTGAACTGGACTTAATACTCTGCAGCAGAGGTCCTACCACTGCAGAGAATACTAAGTACTTCAAATGATTTGCAAAAATATTACCAGTAGTGGTATACTCCAGAGTAACATTTCCTCACTTGCAGCTGTTACCACACAGCTGACACATCTGTGTCCTATTCTAAACCTCAGGTGCATACCCACAGTATTGCTACCCTGGTAATTATTGTGGTTTTGCACATATATTCCTCTTGCCTAGTATGCTGTTTTAAATCTGTTTTTATTAAATTGTTCTAAAATCACTTCTGACTTCATGCACCAGCCTCTACAGTCCCCCCTAGGGGGGACTATGCTAATATAGTTTCATAGAAGTATGTAGCAGATGGGTGAGGGACAAGCTCCCTAAGATCCCAATTCACGTAAAACTCTGCTTTGAAAACCAAATCTTACATATTTTTAAATGTTTCTTTTCTACAGCCTCCACTCCTTCAGGATCTCACCTTCATTAATTGTTTATAATAACCATCAAAATAGATTGCTGCAGCTAGTTTCTTAAGAAACATTTGTCAAATGCTAGCAGCTGCAGCAGTTTATGACATTAGCTCAGAAAGGAGGACAGTGTGATTACCTCTTTCCCAAAGAACTGCCTGCATGTGGCAGATTCAGTTTCTTCACTTTCACAGCGAGAAAAGAGCTTTTTCACTTGGAATTCTAACAGCTTTACACAAACTAACAGTTTAACTGTTACTGGAACTTAAACTGTTTTCAGTTTACTAGTTTTATTTTCACATCAGCATATCATCCATTTCCTGGAGAAACTGCTGACCATTGACAGAATTGCTTTTTGATGTTCATTGTAAGAGAAACAAGGTGCAAGCCTTATTGTCTTTGAAGCTGAAGAAAAAAGTGGGAGTTTTCCTTTTAATACTAATCAGTTGGCAATAGGGTTTTTATTTTTAGAAATAAGTATCTAATAATGAATATTAAATGAAGTCTCACCTGTATATTTTCCTCCCTGTCAGGCATTGGTCCGAAGTGCTGAAGAATTTGAGTGCGAAATTTGTTTCTTAAGTTTTGGAACCAACTGCAGGCCTGATTGTAAACAAAATTGTGAAGCTCTCTCAATTTCTGTAGTTCTTCTGCATCAGCAACCTGTAGGAGGAAAGTTATGAAAACATGATTAGTGATAAATAAACAATTAAGGGGTTTAAGCTAAAATCAAAAAACACTCAAGCTCAACTATATTTAGATACATTTCTTGTGCTCTCCGTAACCTTGACTGGTAATGACTGAATGGTAAAGAAGTATTGTGATATTTCTAAAGTTACAGCTTCAAACTACTGTTGAAACAAAAACTATGTTTTTCTTATTTGCTTTAAAATAATAAAAAAATTAAGCTAGCTTCCAGGAACCTAAAAATTTGAAAGAGAGCTTTCAAGAATAAATCAAGCAAAAGTCTTGATGTATTAATACTAGTATTTATTTAGATGGCATTCTGGATACCTTAACATCTTCCAAATATTCAATGTCGGCAGTGCAATAACCATCTTTCATCCCTCTCCGTAAAACTCTAAATCTCTTCCCACCAATGGTATCAACAACAGACCGTCCATCAGGTAGAAAATGAACGTTCCTAATTTGCAGCATGCAACCATAATCTGCAAAACTAAAAAGAAACCTTGTCAGTAATGCAAGTATACACTTCTGAAAATATGCTTTTTGCAATTAAAAAATTACAAAAGAGATGGAAGAATTAAGATGTAAACTTACCCATTTTGAGAATCACTTATGCACATTCCAAACTGTTTAGTTCCAGTTTCCATACTCCTGCGAATCATGAGTCGGTATCTTGGCTCAAATACATGTAGAGGGCAAGGCACAGTAGGATATGCCATAGTGCAAACAAACATTGGAACATTCTTGGTCAAGCTTCAAGAGAACATAAAAAGAAATACATGCCTTCAAAATCTAAACATTGAGCTATGCCAAGACAATACATTTTTTCAGTATGTCTGCTATGTTTGAGGTCATAAAGCACTCTTTTCAAAGTCAAAATATGTTGTATAAACTTTCATGAATGATAAACCCACATACCAGTAACAGTAGCTGAATACCTATGTACTGATTTGCATACAAACTGGACAGTAAGCCTCACTGTTATCTAGGTAGTGAGTATCTAGTCCATGAATGAAGGGCTCTGTTTTGGGGATGAGGGTGTCAGCTACTTTTTCATTTTTGCTTTATTTTGAGCTATGAAACCAATTAAGCCCTCAGAGACACAGTTTTCCTGTAAGTAAAAAGATGTAATAGTAACTACACAGGAGCTAGGTCACCATTTAGATTATTTTCAAGAAGGGACTCCAGATCATAAGATTCAACTCAGTGTATAATCTGAACCTTGCATTATGCCTCAGCAGGTGTAACTGAAAAGCAAAGTTTTTTTCATCCTGTTTTATCAAGTATGTATAGCTGATAGTAGATACAATTAAATTATTATTAAAATTAGATATTTAATTTTAATGCCTTTCAGAGTATAAAATGTAATTCCACTGGATGGATTCTGTTAAATAAGCTGCATGAGCTTTAGTTTTAAACAGTTTTCCAACGTTCATATCTACAATACATAACAGTCTATGTATTTGAAGAACTCTCTGTGAGATAAAAAACAGGTTTACAAAAAAATCCCAACAATTTTTTTTGATTGAATATATCTGTATATGATTAATGCCTATCATGAATTGCTTTGCAAGAAATTCAATTCTCTGAGACTCTGCAGTCAATTGAAGACAACTTCATTAACAGCAGCAAAGCTAAAACCAAAGCTCCCTGACAGTGCATGCAGAAAGAGGAATGGAAGGGAAACATGCTTCAAAGAACCATGGAACAGTTGAGGTTGGATGGGACCTTAAAGATCATCTACTTCCAACTCCTCTGCTGTAGGCAGGGACACCTTCCACTAAATCAGGTTACTCAGAGCCTCATCCAACCTAGCCTGACCAACCCAGTGACCTTCTATGATGGAGTGACAAGGGAAGGGCTACAGATATCATTTTATCTGTATTTTTCTGTGAACAGTTCCCCTCTCAGTGTTCTCTCCAAACTGGAGAGAGATGGGTTTGATGGGTTATTAATTAAGGGTTGGATGGTTGCACCCAGAGGATAGAGGTCAATGGCTCAGAGTCCCAGTGACCAGCAGTGTCCTTCATGGGTCCGCATTGGGACCAGCACTGTTCAATGTCTTCATCAGTGACACAGACAACCCCAAGCTGAGACAACTGAAGAATGGGATGATATCCAGTGGGACCTGGACAAGCTTTATACTCCTTCTTGCACCCGTAATACACCACGATTAATGACTATAAAAATATTACTTTTCTAAAAAGGATTTCCATGCTAATTTCTCAATTTTTTCACAACAGGAAGCTTACTTGGAGTGTTCTGCAGTTTCTTCAGCATGAATTCTTTTTCTCTCAAATAATTCATCAGACAAATATTTCATTATTAATTCCTCCAGCAGTTCTGTGATACTATATTTTCTACTTGCAAGGTACTGTGAACAATTACAAAAATATTATTTTCATGTATCTTAACAAAAGGCTTGAGAAAATGCAGCTTTTTTATAAAAATACAATCTATGAAATGTGACAGAACTCATGAAAAATTAAAGCTCTTTAGTTTTTATGTTTCATTAATTAAAAGCAAATGATACTCTAATATTTGATAATTTGATCCTCTGTGTAAGTTCTTAGTGTCTGACAATTTAAATGTCTAACTCAGTTTGTATTTCTATGCTTACCAGAGACAGAACTGATTTCCCAAGACATACCAACAAGCGTATAGAAATCACAGAGAGGTTTAACTGAATAGTAACCAAAGTTTACAAATATGCAGGATTGAATTACACCACTGAAGTAAACAGTCACAGAACCATAAAACCTGGAAGACCCTGAGACCCTCTTCCCTTCTAGCAGTAATCCATAGCCCAAGCAAATCCAAATTGTTGGGTTCAAGTGAAACAGCCTTTAAAATTATACAGTATTTGTATTTGTGAGCTTTACTGAGAAACAATACCTCTTTCAAGCTCTCCTTACAGAGTGGACACTGTGGAGCATGATCTAAACACCGTTCCAAGCAACCTTTGCAAAAAGTATGTCCACAAGGGGTTGTTACTGGCTCAAAGAATAGCCTGAAACAAAATTATTAGAAGTTAGATGTAATGGCCAGTGTGTGTTTTTCTAAGAATGTCAGTGACTAATCTCTTGAATTTTTAAGACTAGTTAGACTACAACAAAGTAAAGAAATAATTAGTCCCAAGTCTCCTTGTTCTACTTTCTCCTCTATATTGCAGTTTGTTCATTTACTGCAACACTCACTGTTTTGTTTTCTGATGAAGCTGAACACATTCTAAAACTCTAAGTAATTAACCATTTACCCTAATATACAAAGATTTTGGTCTCCCCACATAGAGATTCGGAATACACAAAATTAGGTGATTCTTTGAGAAACTGTTTTAACAACAGTATTACTAATTATTAGTTATTAAACTAATAACATAACTATGAATAGTTTAGTATACACCATATGTTTTATGGTGTTTCTTCTGAAAATCAGGATTATTCAGTAAGTTTTCAAATACAACATCAGCTACGTTTAAGTAGACTAATATTCTGAAGCATCTATGTCTCCCAGGCAAATACAAGGTTCACAGGCTATGCTTCTAAGCATTAATCTTCCCAAAGTATTTATTGACTGAAGAACCCCTAACATTTAATCAGAAAAGAGCCTGTCCTTTGACGGTTATCAGTTAACACTGCCAAGTTTAACTGAAAAGGCAACTTGATTAAAATAGTCCTGCAGTATATAGCACTGTAGCAAGTGACATTTAAATACACATTTAAGTGCAGGGATAGCAAAAAGCTGCAAATTATTGCCTGATATCAGAACTCTTAACAACTTACAAGTACCTCAGTTTATACATGTAACAGATACGCAGCCAAGCATGTGTAACAAACAGTGAATCAAGGACAAAATCTTACCTCATACACAGGGAGCACTCAAAATCTGATACATCAATCAAATCCCCTGGGATTGTTCCAAAAGCCAGTGTCATGTCCCTTTTTGTACTTTCTATGGAAAAGCAGGACAAGGTACTTCTTCAAACAAAGCCACAAGGCAGTAAATACTCTAAATTTCACAATAAGTGACTGTTTACCTCCTTGCTTTTTGTGTTTGTTTCTTCCATCTTCACATACAACTGTATCCTGTTCTGAAAAGGAAAGCTTTCTTTTTAACAAAGCACCTTTTCCTTGGCCAGAGAGAAGGGGTTCAGAAGACACTCTCTTTAAGCCATCTTCCTTGGCTAGGTCTTTTGTTGAGTTAAGAGCATGGGCAGACTGTGCACGATTTAAGCTTCCACTCACAGGCTCCAGTACATCCGATCCTCCTAAACTCTGTAACAATAAAATGAACCAAACTGTATTCTAAAAGTAACACAGATCTAGCTATGTGAGATGTGACTGTGCAAAGATGTACAAGCCAAACTGATGCCCACAGTTAGTGGCTACCCATTAACTAACCAGAAAAATTCTTAAGTCAAGACAGTACTCAAATTTGCTTGTAATTAACAATTCAAAAATCTTCACCTGCTTCAAATGAAAGAAAAATTATATTTCATCTGCTTCAAAAAAAACCAACTGTATTTCTCTTTATTTTGAAGTCCCTAATATGAAACTTCAGTACCTTATAATAATGTATTTATTACTCATTCTAGTGAACTAGAATGAGGAGTTTTAACACGACAAATGAAAATAAATTACTCCCAGACCAGGCTTCTTTTCCTCCAATTTAGCCAATTACATAAAATTAGTATTTACACTGGAAAGTGTGGCAAATCAGGGTATCAGTACATCTGATGTATACACATCAGTCAGAGACAGAAGTTACTGTAGAGTTTTTATTACCTGCAGAGGACAAAGCTGTAAATTGCAGTAAGATGCAGTCACTTCAGATCCAAGTATAAAGGGTTTATTTCTAATATGGGGTGAATTCCATGCTGATTCCTTCAGACTCTCACCTAGCTTCTCTGGTGACAAAACATCACACAATATCTAGAAAATACAGCTCAATGTCAATAACAATGAAAAAGAATCCAGACATACCTTCATTATAAATTTACATATCAAAAACTAAGAAGGTAATCTACATGAAGTTATTGTCATGAACAGATCTTTATTCAAGCAGTAACTGTGAAGGCAGAGTTGAGAACAAGCAGAAACCTACATTGCTAAAAAAGAAATTGATCTAGAGATCTTTTCTACTACAAGTCAAAGAGTGTTAAACATTATCAATTCAGTATCATGCAGCTTTTCAATGTGAATTTTTATTATCACAGAAAAAAACTTGTGCTCTGGGCACCGAGAATTTCAGCTTGGAAAATTTCACTTGTTGCCTGCTTTCCAGTTTTCTACGTATTAATTCAGTAACTTCAAATGCACGTGTACTTCTCAACATGTATGTAAAACGTGTACATTGGGACTAACTCCTCAATGTAGTATGATTTAAGAAGTATCTTAAAAGGAATCTGCCACCTGAATGTTCTCTGTATGTAATGAAGATTTTAGATGCTCAAAGTCTACCATAATGGGAGTTTCATAAAAAAATCAAGTCAGAGATGGGAATCCAGTATCATAAATAAAATTACCTTTTCTACTTCTAGCTTGGCTGGAAGAAAGTCCTCATCAAGGGCTAAGCACTGTAGAAACAATTGTAAGGCATCACCTACAAAGCCAGAGTCTTGCAGCACTTTTCCTTTCTGAAAGTAGACCTGAGAAACAGACACCACAAAGATATTTGTAGGGAACAGGGAGAACTGCAGAATTGATCTTACAGGCATTGCAACAATGCTAGAATTAGAACCTGCCATGACAGAAAGAATGTAGCTTTAACAAATTTGTACTGTGCACAGTGTGCCTGTCTGTCTAACACACATCCACTACAGTGTTTGAAAATAGTCATGGCATAGGCTGGTGTGAGTCTTCTTCCAGTTAACTTGTTCTGTCTAATATAAAGGGTTGAAAACCTCACTAGTGCTGAATTCACAGCCCTTAATTTCCCTCTTCTGTGAGCCTTTGGAGAGGAAGAACAGGAACAGGAAATGCAAATTATTACATAACCTCACACAACAGCTTACAAGATACATTTTTTGCTCTCCCCTTCGTTAAAAGCTTTATGGTTCCAGCCTTCAGAAGACTGAATACAAATAAAACAATCCACACAACTGTTCATCCCTTACATATATCTCAACCTATATTCTTAAAACAAAACAATGCACTCTGAGAATTAATGGCTTCTTCCAACTATATTTTATGCTTGAACACTGGACACCAGCTGGGGAAAAAAGTCTGTGTATTGTTTCCCTTGAAAGAAAAAAAAAGAGGGAGGAAAGACTACTGGATTTGATGAACTTACTCAAAAGTAGATAACGTTAAAACTAAGAACTTACCTCAACTTTAAAAAGTTGCAATGACAGTAATTGAAATTCTTAAAGTTAGATAAAACCAACAGTTATGAAAAAAAAAAAAGTTAAAACAATAATATCTAATTGTATATAGGAATTTGGATAGTGGGCCAGAAGCTAAACTTAAAAAAAAAATCCAAACAAAACAAAAAACAAATAAACAAAAACCAAAACAAAACCAAAAAAGACTCTACCAAACCCCAGAATGCAGTTTCTACAGAATGACAGACAGTATGAAGAGTAACATCTGTTCAACAAGACTGTCAGATGAGGACACGCATCCTCTTTGATGGATTTGGCCAGTTTCCTTTAAGATGAACTCTGAAGAAGGGAAGTTTGCTAGTTGTCCCCTTACAGACAATTTTTTTTCCTGCAGAGGTAAGGACTGTTACAGGAGTCCATCCATCAAACCAAGCTCAGTTAAGTGAAGTGATGCTTCTTTCCAAACATACAGAAAGAAGTAGACAGTACTACAAACACTGAGAGGTGAAAAGCAGGAGGCTTTATGAATTTGCAGTAGCCACAGAGTCACTGAACACAGGAGAAACCAAGACAAGTGCAGGTATCTCCCCTTTTGTGGAATGATCTTGCTGCTCCTGCTGTGTTCAGAGTTTAGACAGTGCAACATGCACTCTGAAGACCACAGACTCCCCAGCCGCCTGTACTTTTGCAAAGTCAGTTCCCACTGAGTTTATTTGGGCTTTTTGAAGACAATCTTTCCAAACTAAAACAGCAAAGTGTCCCTCTGTTAACAAAAATTAACAACTAAACAAAACAAGCCTCAAACCCCAGCTGTTACAGCTTACATCACCATGAGCTATTCCAACTCAGTGTCTTTGTCAACCAGCCCTAACCTGCCATACTCATGAGAAGCCTGTCTCATATGAATTAACTATTTTAAAAATGAGTTTTAGCATCTTGCATGTCTTAAGACACAACATTTAAAGTAGCTGGCTTAGGCTTTCAAATTGATGCATGTATAATTTGGAATTTATTGATTTTACAAACACAATATTGAAAAATGATGAGTTTATACCAACTTACCTCTGGCCAATTTGGCATTTTAGAAATAACAAAATTTAGATCTTCTATGGCTGTTTTATATTCTTGGAGGCCAACATATGACTCAGCTCTGTAAATTCTTAGCATCAAGTCACTGGGATCTGCAAACAGAAATTAGGTAAAATCTTTTAAAAATCAAAATCTTGTAATTTTTAATTAGATTTGCTTTCATAGTGATATGTAATAATTACAATTTTTCGTAAAATACTTCAATATTAGGGGAGTACCTTCTCTCTCACTCCCTAGTGTTTGGATAACAAAAGTGGCAGTAATTCCAGGTTCATGTCTTGTAAGCTAAGGAGCAAATTTTAGATCTTAGTGTATCTTACAGCAACAAGAAAATTTATTTTCAAATATTGAACAGAGAAGCTCACAAAGCACTGCTACATACTGCTGGGACAACAAAAATTGAGGACTAAGTAATCTTTATCTTTACAGTATATCAAATCAAAACCACAGAAACCTGGGAATTCACCGCACTTGTATTAAAAGTCTTAGGTATTACAAAGTTTGCTTTCAAACACACAAGTTTTTCTGCAGACTGCAATTCGTTTTTATAGTGCCTGGCCCCTTCTGACTATGGCTGGACGTGCCACTTTCACAGTGGCATCTGTCTGGGAGGCACCAGAACCAGGGTTTATCACTGTGTGATTTCCAGAAAGCCTTTAGCACCAGCTAGCAGCCCTGTTTTAAGTTGTTGTTGTAGTGGAACTTCTAGAGTGGGGAAAAAGTAAAATGTGTTCAGTAAGGACAAGTTCCCATGCCCAACATACAGCATTTTGCACTTTCAGTACAGCAGCCTCTAAATGGGAAGCTTATCCCTCTCCTTGCCACTAAAACTACGGTTTTGTAACACAACTAACTGCAGTTGCTGCTTGGAAAAAAATGCCAGAACACTGTTTTGATATTAATTGTTTTTAAAAATAGACCTGGTTTTCACTGAGTAACATAAACTAGTCAAAGGTTGGTCAACTGTAAACAATACTAAAATCAAATAGCTCTTTGTTTCAAGAAAGGCTTTATTGGAGGCTATAATTTCAATTTAGTTTTCTTAGTTTATTCTAAATGTCTAGTATAAATTCTCATAAATTTCCAACATAAGCCTTTTCTACAGTTAGAAGGCATCCTGGTCAATGTTCCGATAGATTGCAACACACTGCTTTGCACTTAGAGTCACAATACTACATGTAAAAAGATTTTAATGGAAAAGAAAGGGTTAAGAAAATCAGAGAAGAATTAATTTAGCTGAAATTGGCATCTTCCTGATTTGCCTTTGAGTTGACAGTTTCCCCTCAAACATAAATATTGCCAAAGCTGGTTTGTTTAATTTTCACATTTGACATAATAAAATGTTTGTTTTAATCAAACTCTGGGAAACTCTCTTTGAGTAAAACGCTAATTCTGCAAGCAGAACAACTCTGAAGCCTGATTTCCTGTGGCTGTGTTTTGTGACTGCTATAGCCTAGCAAGGTGAGAGCTCAGATTAAACTCTTCAGATAGCTTTTCATGTTGTATTTGACTCTTTGGTGTCCAACAGAGTTAGTAGCAAACCAAACTCCTTTGTTCAGAGGCAGCAGTAAGTGCAGGTCTTTGTTCTCTGATAAGCTGCCTATTTGTACAGAATCAGAGGAAGCTCATCTGTTTCAGACTTCAAGTGCAGAACATGACCTGAGGAACTCCCAGGCTTTTTTCCTAGGGGGAAAATGAGGGGTAGTTTGAAGATAAAAATGTGAGTTCAAGTCTACAGCGGGTGGGCATTTCATCCACTTTTTTTTTTCCCCATGAAAAATGCATGATTCCAACTGAACTAGTACAAAACAGAGCTTAGCTGAGATCCCAACCCTGCTGCTGAACACTGTTATTGAATGAACAATAGATATGACAAACTGGGTCTGAATATTCAGAAGACTGAAGGTAGATGATTACTAGTAGTGTTCCTCAAGGCTTAGTATTGAGGCCAGTCCTTTTAATATCTTCATCCACGATCTGGACAAGTGCACCAAAAGTTCACAAATTACTCAGGTTGGGTCGGAGTGTTGATCTGCTGGAGGGTAGGAAGCCTCTGCAGGGGGATCTGGACAGGCTTGATCAATGGGCCAAGGCTATTGGTAGAGGTTCAGCAAAGCCAAGCGCCAGGTCCTGCACTTTAGTCACAACAACCCGTGCAGTGCTACAGGCTGGAGTAAAAGTGGCTGGAAAGCTGCTCAGCTGGTTGACAGCAGCTGAACATGAGCCAGCAGTGCCCAGGTGGCCAAGAAGGCCAATGGCACCTGGCCTGTGTCAGCAATAGTGTGGCCAGCAGGAGCAGGGCAGGGATTGTCCCCCTGTACTCGGCACTGGGGAGGCTGCACGTTGAATCCCGTGTCCAGTTCTGGGCTCCTCACAACAAGAAGGACATTGAGGGGCTGGAGCAAGTCCAGAGAAGGGCAACAGAGCTGGGGAAGGGTCTGGAGCACAAGTCTAATGAAGAAAGGTTGAGTTTAACCTGGAGAAAAGAGGTCTCAGGTGGGACCTTCTCACCCTTTACAACTACCTGAAAGGAGGTTGTAGACAGGTGGGGGCTGGCTGTCCCTTCTCCCAGGCAACATAAGGAGAGGAAATGGTGCCATGAGAGGTTTAGTACAAGTAGGAACAGACTGCCCACAGCAGCAGTGGAGACACCATTCCTGGAGGGATTTAAAGATGCGTAGATATGGCATTTAGGGATATGGTCTAGTGATAGACTTAGCAGTGAGATACTAAAGGTTTGACTTAATGATCGGAGAGGTCTTTTCCAACCTAAACAATTCTTTGTTTCTATCTAAATTTACATATCCAATTTTTTAAATGGCGATTTAATTTCTTGGCTTTATTACAATGAAAAAACAATTTTGCAATGTGTCAGAATATATTTTAATGTTTTTCAGCTAAAGAGAGGATGCAAGCTAATTTTGAATCTTTGGATTAAAGAGCACAGAAACATAATTAGCTCTTGAACTTTCAATTTCAGTGATCAAATATATTGTAAATACAGAAATCGTTCACTTCTAGCATCTCAAAGACAAATGACTAACTAAAAACACACCAAGTATTTGCAGCATATAACTGTGTGCATCAGTTTTTATTATTACATTAATAGAAAGTATACAAAGGTATACACACAAAAGCACATTCAATATGCATTCCTGAGTTTTATATTATTTCCAAAGCATCTACTCTTACTGTAAGTATAAACATACCAATAAATGAACCACCTCTGATCTGATTCTGCATGCTTTTTATATGGTTCTTAATAAATTCTTCAAAATAAAAGACATGCACATAAAAAACACTCTGTAGAAATACTTTAAGACACAGTATTTATTAACAAGTAGTACAGGGCCACCTTAATAATCAGAGTTGGAACACACAACCCTTAAGAAAGCGCCAAAAGAACTGGGCTTGTTTAGCAGAAAAATATTCCTGAATGCATTGGAGAACACAACAGAATCCAAAAATGGGTTACCTAGAAGACTCTACCGAAGTATGCAGTGAAAAAACAAGAGAGAATGGTTATAAACCAAACCAGTGGCAGTTAAGACTTGAAATAAGAGAAATTTTTCACTAGGGGGCTAATTATCCTTTGAGCAGGTTGCCCAGAAAGGCTGTGGAATTGTCAGCTTGTAGGTTTTCATGATCCAGCTGTACAAAACCTTAAGCAAACTGCTCTGATCACAGTATTTGTTCTACTTGAACAGGAGACTGATTGCTCAACAGATCTCCTGAGGTCCACTCTGGCAGGAATGAGTGACATTCACACCAAATTCAACACATCAGTGATGTGTTTCAGGACACTTGATTAAAGGCAAGCTGCACTTGCATTTTAATTCAAGAGACCTCCTTTAACTAAGCTATTTCATTTCAACTCCTGCAAGGAATATACCAGCTATATGAATGTTCAACAGAATTCAACAGAATGCCTAGGTTGGAAGAGACCTCCAAGATCATCAAGTCCAACCCAAATCCTTATGGCTTTTTAAAGTCACTTTTGCACAATGGCAAATATAACTCTTTCAAATGTTTCAGAACTGGAATGAAGTTAAGAAAATATGCCATTTGAATAGAAGTTTAGCATCAATGCCTTAGTTAGGACATCAGACTAATGTTTATCACAACTTTTTAACTACGTGCATTAAAAATAAACAAATGAAGCGGCAGTAAAGAAACGCTGAAATGGAACATGAACAATTTTAAACATTAATACATTTCTTATGCTACATCTTTTCCATCTCTAACTGTCTTCAAAATTCATGGTCTGAAGGAAGATGGAAAGTATACCAGCAGTTATTAATTTATCTATTGGCCTGGAATTACCTTCAGTTTGTAGTTGTGAATCCACAGCTCTAAATTCACATTTAAGGTATGTCTGCACTCTGAACCACAAAGTTCTTCAGCATCTTTTCCAGAATATGGGGAATGTCAATAATTCTCAGGATTGGAGACACAGAAAAGAATTGTACAACTGACCTTAAACTGAACTTCTAGCACTTAATTCTTGCACGTGTACTGAATCTGAATAATAAAATTTTGAATGCACATCACAGCTGGTAAGTATACTCAAATTTTAAACCCACTTTGAAGCCAAAATGGAAGATGTAGATTCACATAAAAAAATAAACAAAATTCTTTCCCTATAGATATCTAAATAATATTCCTAAATCCATAAAAGAAAGAGTAACAAAAAACATGCAATTAATTTACTGTTTTATTCTTTCAAAGCAGTCTTGAAGCATGAAACAGGAGCCCAGTAAACATATGTGATCAGTACCGGATTCATCAGTTTTACCCTGAAAACTACTGATATGTCTTTGTGACCTGTATGAGTCAATGCTTCCTGTACTTCAGGAAGAAGTCTGCATCTTATAGTTTCAAGATTTAAAATCCGTCCCATATCCTACACTTTGGAAACACCCTGGCAAATAAAATAGAATCGATAGCCAAAACTAAACCCCTTAAAATTAGGTTGCCAAAAAGCATATAAAATAGATCTTCGACTTAATCCCACCTACATTGAGACCAGTTTATTCTGGAACTAGACCTAATGTATCTCTTCAGAACAGATTGGAAGGATTAGACTTATGCAACCTTTTGGTTTTTTTCCTCCACTGCAG